TCTGGTAGAAAATATTTACTCTTATGGGTACATTGTGGTTGGTCTTACTCCGTTTGGAACGGAACGTGCCGTGACTCACGAATTTGTCGCCCTCCACGCAGCTGCCGTCACGCCTGACGCAGGCTTCATTGGCCGGCTCGGGTCGGTCTCCTGACGGCCTGGCTCCCTTCCTTTGTTGGGCTCCATGGAGGCCCACAGAAGCCCACTACTCCACCGAGTGTTGTACGGCCCATCACATCTCAAATCTATGCAAAGGGTTTTGGATGCTCACGGTCATATTGCTGCGGAACAAAATATGCGACACCGTCGCACAGCACTCCGCACGCAACACCTGATGCTCGCTCGACGCGTGTTGTGGCCTTCTTGGTTGGCTTTCCCGTACTATCTAACGACTGCTAAAATTATTAGCCAAATTCAATAGTTTAGCTATTTTATAAAATATAATAGGAATCTCATAAAAAAAGAGAAGAGGTCCACAACAACTTACTATTTCTCATCTTCAGATAGCTATCTCCTGTGGTTGCTTTTATATGGCTATCGAAAATAAAGAGATAGTCAGCTTCCTAATTTATAGCATATTTGTTGGAACCTACTTTTTGTTAAACAAATTCTAAAATAACCTACAAAACAAGAATAGCCGAGTTGTTGGAGTTGCTCTAATTGTTTTCCTACATGTACTTTGTTAAACATGTGTGCCAACTTAGGCTCCGTTTGGCACGGCTCCACTTCACCCATGAAGCTCTTTTTTGAGGCTTCAGCTCCATGAACAGCTCTATGAGTGGAGCTGTAGCCGTTTTGATAAATCGTTTGGCAAAACAGTTTCACATATAGTTTTTCTTAAAATATGCTCTCAGAGAACGTCATGTAGAATGAGGTGAAGCCGAGAGAAGCCACTATTTTTGGCTCCTTCCCACCCCAAAGCTCTGTGAGAGCACGTTTTTACGGGCTTCATTGGTGGAGCCGTTTTATTTTACCCCGTTTGGCAGAAAACGGCTCCAAGCGGCTCCTGAAGCCGCTAGAGAAGCCCTGCCAAATGTGGCCTTATATGTCACCTCTTAGAACTCAGAGGAGTCAAACATGTCCACATTTTCCTATGCCATATTGATTTTGGCCCCGTTCAGCTGGCAGAATCTTGACTGAAACTGGCTGGTTGTGTGAGAGAGGAACACTGTTTGGCTGAATGGATGAATAGTGCCGTGTGAGGGGCTGGTTTCTTCGGTCCAGCGAACAGCCCCAACCATATTCTTCGGTCATACATTCAACTGAATGTATATATTCAAACTTGACCACATAACATGTACTGTTTGATACACAATTGCTCCCTCATTTTTATAATACCATGTTACTGTTTTTGTTATAAATTTAAACTTGAACCTCTGCTAAGATCACTGAGAACCAATGTAACCAGGCCGTGCATGGAATGTTAAACTTATTTGTTTACTCCCTTCTCCTTTCATTTCACTCTCTTTGCCGCTTCACCATATTATTAATCCGCTTATGATTATATAATAACTTCATCTCACGTGCTTGTGTGTATGATTGTATAATATATTTTTCAAACTACGTGGCTTTTCACCTATGTAACTTCAGCGATGGACTCCTATTATTAGCTCAGATTTTGACATGTTGGTCTCACATGCAGACATGCTCAGGGAATAAGGATGCACGCCGGTCACTAGTTTATCGCTCTGTTTGTTTTTTAGCACAACTTCAGCAGTACTTTTCAGCAAATGAACAATATTTTTCTTATAATAAATCAGGATCAGCAGCGGCATCAACTAAGTCTTGTTTGGTACAACCTATAAACTGCTTAGGGCTAAAATAAGATGAAACTAACAACCAGATAGCAAGCTTTTCTGCGGCTTCCCTTGACATCACCGCTGTCCTTATTTATATGAAAAAGTAAAAGATGGACCAGACCGTGCTTTTGCTTTATTTATGTAGCTTTCCTAGTAAGTTTTTCTTTTTCAACTGACAAAATTTATAGACAAGAAGTAGCAAAAAAAGCCTATAACAACGAGGTAATAAATGCCCACCGAAGCACACGTGCATTCTAGTGACGGCTACAAATTTTGCAGATAAATTTGTAGAAAATCAATCAATTCAATCCATCGTTTTGGATATTTTCTTTACACGAACATGAAAAAACACTACAAATCACTCTGTCACAAAAAAGTTGATTTCACAAGGGCTATCATAAATCAATAACTTCATAAGTCTTTGGATAACCAAAACATCCCTAGCGGGCGCGCTTCGTCAATATTAATACCTTGTGGCTCAACCTCTTAGAGGTGATCATAAAGGTACAATATGAGCATGATTGATTTGAGGATGAAGAGAGCCTGGCTCATTCCTAGGCCTTGTTTAGATGTGTGTTACAAACAAGTATTTTGACATGCTAAAGACTTTTGTTTTATTTGATAATTATTATCCAATTATGGTCTAACTAGGCTTAAAAGATTCGTCTCGTAATTTACAATCAAACTGTGTAATTAGTTATTTTTTTATCTATATTTAATACTCTATGCATCGTATGCTCTAAAGATTTGATGTGATAGAGTAAAAAACTTGCAATCTAAACCAGGCCCTAGCATCCAGGCTGATGATGGGACAGGCAAGGTACATGCAAGACCCACCACTTGTTTGGTTGCTTCATTGCTCGTTTGTTTGCCTATTAGTGCACTCACGCTCTCTCTCGGATGGGAGAGGACACACGCCCATCACTTGTTTAGTTGCTTTATTGCTTGTTTGTTTGCCTATTTGTACACTCGCTCTCTTAGATGGGAGATGGCGCGCACTCGCACGAACCAAGCCAAAAAAAATCCAACTGTGTTTCGAGCAAGCCTCGTGCATACAGCTGGCCAGGCCGGCAGGCCAGGTCAGAGAAAAAACAGGGTATTACGCCTTATATCTATATGTACACGTTCATAAGGATGAGCGTGCGAATGTGTCCGTGTTTTGAAAAAAAAAATCATATGTTTCTTTGGCGACACCAGTAGAGGAAGCAGGAGAAAATATCAAGCGCTTTTTATGTAGCTTCCCTGACATCGGCACTGTCCTCAATTATATGAAAAAGTAAAAGGTGGATCGGACAGTACTTTTACTTTGTTATTTATTTACGTAGCTTTCCCAGTAAGCTTTTCTTTTCAAAAATTTTAGAACAAGTAGCAAAAGAGCCTATAAAACGAGGTAAAAGGCCCACCAGAAGCACGCGCATTCTAGTGGCGACTCAAATTTTGCAGAAAAAATTGTAGAAAAATCAATCAATTCAATCCGTGTTTTGGAAATTCTCTTTACACGAACATGAAAAAAGCATTACAGATCACTCTGTCACAAAAAAAGTTTTCACAAGGGTTATCATAAGTCAATAACTTTTGTAAGTCGAGAGAAACCAAAACGTCCCTATGGACAGCAATATCTTCCGACTCAATCTTTTACATATGCTTATAAAAGTACAATATGAGTGTGATTGGTTTGAGGATGAAGAGAACCTGGCTCGTTCCTAGTAGAGGAGGCGACGCCCTGTTCGCTTCTCTTATAATTCGTTTTTTTTAGTTTTTTTTAGTCGGAACAATATTTTTACTTATTTTTTTAGCGAAGCGAACAGGACCAGCACGCACCAAACCCAGGGGAGGGAGCACTATGATCAGTGATCACCACCACCGCGGCCGCGGCTTCCGTGGAAACCATGAGCTCTGCAAGTGTGTCACTAGTTACCAAAACAGAGGCCAACCATACAGGACAAATTCACAGGCCACCCGATCACGAAACTAGCTAGTGGAAAAATCTGCAACTCCAAAATTCACCAACTCAAAAAGTGTACTCACTCCTACTAAAAAATAAAGTTGTTTTGGACAAGGCTTATGTCCAACATTGATAATATAAATCATGAATAACTTTTAAGTTACTGAGTTTGAAAATGTAAAAATCATATATATAGATTTGTCTTCAAAAATACTTTCACAAAAATTTACATATATCACTTTTTAATAAATATCTTTATAAAAATAAGTAGTCAAAGTTATGCTTTGGAGACCGTGTCGCTGTCAAAATAACTTTATTTTTTTTATATGGAGAGAGTACCAAGAGATACGTCACCTTATCCACTGCCACGTGACAGGGGCCCGCAGGAATCTCGGCGGCCAGTGGTGGCACACCACGTGGGCCGCCCCCGTCCCTGTCCCTGTACAAAAGAACCCACCCATCATTGGAGCTTGGAGGGGAAGCTCCAATTCCAGCAGGCAGGCAGGCAGCTCGTCCAAATTTCCAAGTCAATCCACATCCGAAACGGGGTAGATTCAGAGCAACGACAGAAATCAAACCAAGCGCGTGTTTAGTTGGGACCCCAAATTCAAAAAAAGTGCTACACTACCCATCACACCGAATCTTACTATACGTGCATGGAGCATTAAATGTAGATGAAAAAAAAACTAATTACATAGTTTGGTTGGAAATTACGAGATGAACGTTTTGAGCCTAATTAGTCCATGATTGAACACTAATTACCAAATAAAAACGAAAGTGCTACAGTAGCCCAAATTCCCAAATTCACCCAACTAAACACACCCCAAGCGTCCTTATCCCATGTCGCCCTCAGATCAAAATTCTTACTTGCCCCAGGGTAAATGAAGCTGCATTATCATCATTACCTCCAGTAATTACACGTTGGTTTTGTTAACAGCAAGTCACAGCCACTTAGGGTTACTGTTAGTAACTCCCAAGTATCAACCAACCTGCAGTGAGCAGCCTAACCCTTCTTAGTCTTCACATCACAGAAGATGAAAAAGCAGGAGCATCCAGTCAGAGTCCATCAGTAGTGCCAGCAGTCACTGGTGGGACATGCTGCTATCCATGCATTCCTATCCACCTCGGCTCAGCTCCCTGACAGTCGTCTTCTTGTTATAAAACCCCCTCCTCTGCAAGGGGATACATACAGAAACAAGTGAGACAGGCGCCCACAGGAGAGTGATCACCAACAGTCCCCTTCCATCCATCCATCCATGGCATGCATCAACAGCACCTTCCAGAGTTGCTCCATTGCCAGAGGAGCAAAGATCAGCACAAGGGCTAGGGGCAGTAGTGGGGGGAAGGGGTCACCGACCTTTCAGTGCAGGGCGTCGACTTTCGTGGACGCCAGCCTCCGGCTTGAGCTCGACGAGAACCCTGAGGCAATCATCTCGGGGGTGTGGCCTGAGAACGTCTCCCTTCTGAGCTACGACGATCTCCGCGCCTACTTCGAGTCGCAGGGAGACGGCCCATGTAGAAGATGATCAGGTACTTGATCTCGGTTTCTTCTTGCTATCACTATTACTACCTCTATGGCTCTCTTTCATCTCCTTCCACCTCTCTTCAACTCCTTCAGCTCTTGCTGAACTTTGTACTTTTTGTGTGTGTGTGTGTGATGTGAATACAGCACGTGGCGCTCTTGGGTGAGACCATGTCAACACCTGTGCTAGTGGCCACAGCAGATCAGACCCTGGAGGAGGTCGAATGCCACTTTGAGGCCGTGTCAGGGCTTCCAGTTGTAGACAGCAGCTTCAGATGTATTGGGGTGGTCGTCAAGAATGACCGGGCCAGAGCTTCTCATGGGGTCAGCTCTCTCTTCCCCTCTTTCTCACACACAAATAACACACACGCACACGCATCAAGTTGCTAGTTTAATACGAAAGGAAAGGAGAACATCCATTTTGTTCACTGATCTATTACTTGTAACAGTCAAAGACAAAGGTCTCAGAAGTGATGACCTCTCCAGCCATCACACTATCTTCTGACAAAACTGTGATGGGTAATCTTTGCTTTCATCTCACCTTTTCTTTTCTTTTCATGTATGCTTTTTACATAAGTTAAATCTAACAGTACATGCCTAACGTCTACAGATGCTGCGGTTCTGATGCTCAAGAAGAAGATCCACAGACTACCAGTTATAAATCAGGACGAACAAGTAATAGGTGAGTATCAGAATGCTGACAATATATATATATATATATATATATATATATATATATAAAACTGCATGTATACACTTGATTTGTATTATCCTTAACAATTAACATTGACAACACAGAGTATGCTACAAGCCTAATGGGGTTCTAAACACTATCAACAGGTATAGTTACCCGTGCTGATGTTCTTCGTGTGCTGGAAGGCATGCTGAAGGTTTAGGAGCGCAGCAATCCATGCTCGGAAGTCAGAACTTCTTGTAAATATGTAGATGTGTCCATGGTGCTTTTGAGTAGCAGCATGGAGATCTATAGTCTATAGGAGTGTGCTGTGCCATCAGTAACAATAAGTCCGGAAGGGTTGAGAGTTTTTCCTTGTAAATAAAAGTAGCACGCCAGGAGACTCCATCTCTGTTTTGTACTGCTTGCGCAACCAAATGCTGTAAACTAGCCAAATACTTCCACAGCAATATAAATGGATATGCCTAAAACAATGTTTTGGAAGAGACATGAGAAAATACCAGTAAATGCACATACTGCATGGAAATAATTCAAACAGGCAAGCAATTGAATTATAACTCCAAGCAGAATGAAAAGAACATACTCGTTCTGTATGTCGTTGCAGCTTGAAACTGCTTAAATCAGGAGACGCCCCCTTGATCTTCTCCTGAAGCAACAGAAGCAGCACTAACAACCATCGATGGGGTAGAAAGTGTGGGTTCTTGTGAATCAGAAATAATTTTCATCTCCAGGTTTGGAATTACTGGTGCCCTTGTCCTTCGAGTAACAGTCATTTTTAATCCCTCAGTCGTGTGAATCGTTGCTCCAGTTGTCATGTCAACCTATTATATTGCATATAAATAATGGGGGCATGGTTATTAACTATAATGAATCAGAATCTGGTTGAAACATACCGGAGGTGCTCCTGGAGCCATCTGAAAGTCAAATCGCTTGACAAGCATTGCTGTTGCCACCACCGTCTGCAGTGACACAGTATGCCTATGTTATTTGAGTTTGAAATCTAGCATTTTCTATAGTGATCGCTTTATTGCTAATCGAATGAAATGAGGTACTCCCTCTGGTTCTCTAAAGCAAGTCGTTTTGGACATCGACATGGTCTTTAAGAAACGACTTTGACTGCAACTTTTTGCTATAAAATATTTATAAAATATAGTCAATATATACTTTTATGAAACTACATTTCAAGATGAATCTACTTACATCACTTTCATATTTTCAAACTCAACCCAAAAAAAGTTATTTGTAGTCAAAGTTTAAAATGTTTGACTTAAGACAACCTCAAAACGACTTGCTTTAGAGAACCGGAGGAGTATTGGTCTTGTAAAAGCTCAAAATCGAAAAAAGACGTATATAAAAAAATTGTATAAAAGGTTACCTCAAAAGTGGCAAACATGTCACCTACGCATTTCCTTGGTCCGCCACCAAATGGTAAGTAACTGAAAATTCAACAGATTATTTGAATCCCACTGCATTAATTAATTTTTGTTGTTCGAGGACCGCCAGTGCACTTTATTGACATTTTCATAGTAAACCTATTTAGTGTCATAAATTTTGATAATCTTCTCTATAAACTTGGTCAGACATAAGATGCTTTGACTTAGGACAAAACCAAAATGTCACTCTTTGCAGGACGGAGGTAGTAAGAACGTATCCGCCACTACCTTTATTGCAATCTTTATTTTTGTTGTTTATTTGAAAGATACACAGTTGAAAGGAAATATAAAATATTCCACCTTGTTAACCTAAGCTAACACAATAGAGAGACACAAAATCTCAATCATCAGAGTCAGTTAAGCATGTCATTAAAATTTATCCATTTAATTGATCTTATTATGTTTCTGGTACGCCAGTTTACAATAGGCTTTTGTTATGTGCTATGTAAGAACTCCACAAATAATAGGAATTGCATATGCAAAGTTCAATTCATGCCCCGAAAAAAAAGAAGTTAAAAATAGGAATTAGCTGTGCTTTGGTTATCTCTCTAGAATGATAATGGCTTTGCAGTATTAAAAAGAATCAAAGTTTTCATTGACTTGGAGAAGGCTTATGACAAGATACCAAGGAATGTTATGTGGTGGGCGTTGGAAAAACATAAAGTCCCAACAAAGTATGTTACCCTCATCAAGGACATGTACAGCAATGCCGTGACTAGTGTCCGAACGAATGATGGTAACACAGATTACTTCCTGATTAAAATAGAACTTCATCAAGGGTCAGCCTTGAGCCCGTATCTCTTTACCTTAGTAATGGATGAAGTGACTAGGGACATTCAAGGGGATATCCCTTGGTGTATGCTATTTGCAGACGATGTAGTGCTAGTTGATGAAAGCCAGGCAGGAGTAAATAGGAAACTAGAGTTGTGACGGCAGACCTTTGAGTCCAAAGGTTTCATAGTAGGTCGAACTAAAACAGAATACATGAGATGCGACTTTGACAGCGCTACACATGAGGAGGGAGATGTGAGTTTGGAAGGTCAAGTGGTGCCTAAGAAAGATACCTTCCGTTATCTAGGATCGATGCTACAAAAGGATGAAGATATTGATGCAGACATTTGCCATAGGATTAAAGCAGGGTGGATGAAGTGGCGCCAAGCATCTAGCATTCTCTGTGACAAGAGGGTACCACAAAAGCTTAAAGGCAAGTTTTATAGAACGACGATTAGACCCGCTATGTTGTATGGAGCAGAATGTTGGCCTACAAAAAGACGACAACAACTGAGTGGCACGGAAATGCGTATGTTACATTGGATTTGTGGTCACACAAGGATGGATCGAGTTCGGAATGATGATATACGTGATCGTCTAGGGGTAGCATCAATTGAAGAAAAACTTGTCCAACATCGGTTGAGGTGGTTTGGCCATGTCCAAAGGAGACGTCCAGAGGCACCAGTGCATTGCGGAGTTCTAAGTCGAGATATCAATGTGAGGAGAGGTAGAGGAAGACCGAAGCTGACATGGGGGAGGCAATAAAAAGAGATTTAAGGGGTTGGGATATACCTAGAGATCTCTGTTTGGATAGGAGTGCTTGGAAAACAGCTATTGACGTGCCTGAACCGTGACTAGAGGCTCATGTTGGGTTTCAACTCTAGCCTACCCCTACTTGCTTGGGACTAAAAGGCTTTGTTGTTGTTGTTGTTGTTGTTGTTGTAAAGTTTTCTTCGGAGAACAATCTCTGGTCAACAAATGTCTCCCCTGTTCTTGGCTTCTTGCAATCAAAACAATTCACGTATGGACAACTTGACGGGACAAGAAAGTGTAACTATAACTGCATTTTGCAGTGATAGAGAGGGAACCTGAAATTTTGGTTTATCTCGTTCGGATTTGGTCCATCCAAAGGCCATCTTTCTGGGTTGAAAACTTCTGCATCATCCCAGTGCTTTGGGCAGTGGTGAAGATTCCAAACAGAAATAAAAATATCTTCTCCTCTGAAACAAATAAAGAAAAAAATGTTTCAGATGGTAACACCAAATGAATGAATGTTATCACAATCCAAATATCCTAGGGCAACCAATAAATCAAATTACTTCTACAAGCAATGGAATTTGGAAAGCAGGAAAAAAACTTTGCATTAAATAGACCACATAAGATTGGAAAGAAGCAGTAGGCTTGCATACTATACATTGCTGTTTAAACTAATATAGCTATTAACGTTGAGGAGTTCAAAAAATATAACAAATGTCATAAAAAAAAGTAGAAGAAATCTAAGGTAACTAAGCTACCCCTATGGTGCTAAACAGCATCTACAACAACTGACATGATACAAAAGCTAGCTTTTTTCCTTAATGAAATGACATGCAACTCTCCTGCATCATTTGAGAATAAACTACCTTTTCATATAACTCCGACAACGGAGTTGCATAAACTTAATGCTAAAGAATATTTGCAGACATCGGTATCTTAAATATATTAAATTCTGCTAGAAAACTTTATCGGCCAATTGGGTACCCTCCGAGCATATCATCCTCAAGTGACCTACTTAATTAAAACCGCGGCTGTGGATATAGTCTCAATGACTGCAACAAAAAAATGATTTGGTCATGTTCTTTTGAGATGATCAATCATTGTTTCATGCACCAGCATTGTTAGTTTCTTACTTCATTAATAACCCGAGTCGTGTACTTTAGTTTCTTCACATCCTCAATTGTAGGCAAACCATCACCTAGAACACTATCAACCTCATGGATAGTTGTGTGAAAATAGAGGCATTCATGAAATTTCAGAAGCAGTGAAGAAAAAACATCTATATAAGTGAAAAACATGAGTGTACCTCATCTTGCAACTTGGCCATTACTTTTGGATACTGCAGGGTACCAATTGGATAGAAAAGGTAAGTAGCTTGATATTAATGGTTATAAGCTACAAAGACAATCTAAAAAAAACACTACTGCATTTGATATTATAAGTTAATACAGACGTGAGTTTTCGATACTGATATAGCATATACCTTAGATAGAAGATAAAACGTCCATGTCAAGACTGCCGCAGAAGTCTCATGACCAGCTATGAGCATGGTCATCAAATCATCACGGAGTTGCTTGCTGGATACCTATGACAGATGGAATGAAGCTGTGTGAGGATGAGGAAGTTGAAATAGACAAAATAATTTTTTGCATGTTACATCATACATCATCTCCAGATGCCAAAAGGAAGTGAAGAATGCTAGGATCTTGCTCGTTCATGTATTCCTCATGAAACTGAAGATCTTCTTGCTCTACCAGTCTCTGCGTTAATAACAATAGGCAATAGCACTGTCATGATTTTTCTAAACCCAAACATGTACGACATCACGATGAAAGTATTAGAAACGACAAAACGATTTACCTTGCATATGGCAATTAGTTCATCGAGAGTACTATTTATCAACTTGAGAGCTTCGTTGACCTTCTTCTGCCGTGGGGAAATGTCCTTCCATATGGGTATTTCCCAGGTTGGTATAGGAGAAGTGCTACGCATCTCTGCTTCCCTTAGTGTTACATACACTGCCTGATCATGGTTCCACAATGGAAAAAGGTTTCAGGCGCGAAGAACCGTAGATAAATGAAACTGGAAAGAGAGGGAAACTTGAATCAATAACCTCGACTATCCCGTTATCGTAAGATAACGAGTCAAAGTCATAATTGAACACCGCCTTCCCGATGACATCCAGCGTGAGTCGAGAGAACAACGACTCCATCTCCACGTCCTCCCCATCCACTGCTGCCTTGTCCAATTTCTCACAGAGCCGATCTGAAGCTTCTCCAAAGAGACCAATCATCGCAGTCACATACTGTAGAACGAGCAAACTTGAGGTGGGTAAACAAAGAAACCAATACAGTAGAACACAGTAGGCAGCAGATAGGTCAGACCTTCTGATGCAATGCGGGAACAATAGCACGCCTCCGAACACGCCAAATCTCCCCGTCAGCAGGGATTAAACCCGTACCCATCACGAACTCCAGTATCTCTGCAAGAATTCCCTGCATCAACCACAACGACATGTTCACTTCAGTTCATTGATCGAAAACCTTTCTTCCGAGGGCTGGAAAACGTATATGCCCAGATTGATACTGATAACCATACCTTGGAATAAGCTTTGGAGTTCTCCCTCAGGATGTGCTTAGCGATAGCCGGATCGGAGACAATAAGAAACGACTGGAAGGAACACAAAATTTTAAATTTTAAACCATCATACGGAGCACGCTAATAGTACTAGGGGGTTGTGGAGCAAGCTCTGGTTGATTGATTGATCGCGTGCCGGCGTTCTGCGTTCACCTTAGGGCCAAAGTTGAGGCGAAAGATGCCGCCGTAGGTGAGGAAGAGGTCGTACAGGGGCACGAAGAAGGCTTGCCCCACGACGGCGTTGATCGACCCCACTGCCTGCGGGATCTCCGGGCCGCCGCGCGCCGCGCCCGCGCCCGCCACCCTTGTGAGCAGCGCGGCGGCGAGCTCCCCCGGCGGGCCCAGCTTGGAGAGCTTCCCCACGAGAGGCGCAATCCACCTTGATGAATTGAAACCCAAATTCGAAACAGAATCAAACAATCAATCAATACCGGAAATAGATAAACGCAAAGAAATGAGGAGCAGGGGCGGCAGCTGACCCGGGGCCTTGCACCGTGAACTCGCCGGACGCAATGCGCGCGGCGAGCTCGGCCTGGCGGCGGCGCTGCTCCTCGAGGGCCGGGTCGGAGCCGCCGCTGCCTCCGGCGCCGTCGCCACCGCCAGACGAGGCGGCGCAACGGAGTTTGAAGCGGCGGCGGCAGACAGCAGGAGGATGGAGGCGGATGTGGCCCTGGTGGGCGGAGGAGCCAGAGGCGGGGAGGCGGAACGGGGGAGCGCCCGCGGACGAGAGGCCGGTGGCGCTGGCGGCGGCGGGCATGGCGGGCGTCGTAGCAGCGCGGCAGTGGTGCAGTGACATGGAAAGTGCGGGAACAAAGGAAAGAAAAGGAGGCGGTGGGAATGGAAGAAGCTTGAGGTGGAGGATGAGGTGGGAAGAACTGAAGAAGCGGAAGCGGAGGACGTTGGCCACGTGGGGTTTGGTGCTCCCCCCGTTTGTTGCGTTCCGGGTGGGGGCGGGACACGACGAAACCGAGCCGAGAGCACTGCGCGGAAGACGGAGGCCGGAAGGATGCCGTCCGTTTGGCTCCTCTGACGGAATCTGTCGCCCCCTAGTCCACGGCATCTTTCACTCCATTCCCGTCGCCACCGCGGCCTGTTCGCTGTTTTTTTTTTCTTTTCCTGTCTGACCTGATAAGCTCAGCTGCTGGTTCTGATTTGTTAGCTGATTTATTGTGAGAGAAAAATACTATTAGTTGTGAGAGAAAAATACTATTGGCCAATTGATAAGCAGTGACTGCCAACGAGCGAACAGGCATCCTCTTCAACCTATTGGCATTCGAGGAAACAACGGTCAACGACGCCAGCATGCTAAGGGGAACTGAGATGTCCATGTCCATGGCCACTATCCGAGCAGACGCAGCCACAGCACAGCACAGCACAGTCATCCGGCTAGCTATCATCGCTCATCTCCGCCATCTTGCGTCCGTTCTTGCCGCGAAAACCCAAGCCAGAGACGGTCTTTTTTATTCTCGCGTCGACAGCGGTGAAAACTGAAAGCCTCCAATTCCTGTCGTGAACACAACCAACCAGAGCGACCCTTGTTTCTTCACCCACTCATTTACCTTGTTTCTACCGCCGGCGCCGGCGCAAGAAAGAGCTCCGCACGCCCCCCCCCCCCCACCCCCCTATCTGTAACAAAAAAATTGTTTTATCCTCTCAAAAAAAGTTTTTATATGTAAGACAACTAGAGATCCCAGCTTCAGAACAATTCCACTCGTTACCGTCCAAACTCCAACCGACTGGTAGCACCCCTCACATCTACGAGGGGGCTATTGCCGGCCACATGTCAGGGAGCGAGCAAGAAAGGGGCAATTTCTTTTTTTCTGAAAGGATATCAATATCCACTGATGGAACAAGGCAAAATAACATAGACTGCCATGGCCAGTACAACAATGTCAAAGCGAAAAATGATCAAGGACAACAACATAAAGGAGCTCTAGAATTCTCCGCCAAGGAAAAAACGAGCTCTAGGGTTCTCCTCCTTGACTGAACTGAAAACAGGAAGAAAAAAAAAGTGTGCTTCGAATTCATGTTACAGTTTCACATCCTTCAGAAGCCTTGCAGCCATAGCCCCACACCTTCTGATTTCCCAATCATCCAGACCGCCGCTCTTAGCCTCTGGTGACGAGCCGGAACAAGAGTCGCTCTTCACTCCAGGATCTTCGTCTTCCCCTGGATTCGAAACAACCTCTTCCTCGTCGTTCCCATTATCGGTAGCCTCAACCTCCGGGATCAATGGTGCTTTCAGGTCCATCATGTAGAGATGTATGCTAGGATGTTGATATTTCACATCCATCTGTCTCAGAATACACATCATAAGCATATATATAAGTCCCGGAACTGACGCAAACATGAATATAAGAAATTACTTTTCCACATTTCCATACCTTTGATTTAGAGACTGTTTTCACAATGAAATTGCTTTTCCACATTTCCATCATCTTCTCGTGGACTGTGGTCGAACGGACCTCGTATCCTAGCTGGATAGCAGGCAACAGTTCAGTAGTTCCCAAACAACTGCTTTGCAGAAATAACTTCTGAAAAAGAGGACAGGAGCTACCAATATTTTTGTTTTGGGACCAGATAATGCAGTAATTGTCTCCATTAGAGGTTGCAACAGATGCTCTGAATAAACCTTGAACATGCACAGATGAAGGAGAAATTAAGTCACTTTGTTAACACTGAATCATCGATCCTGCTATACTCAACTACAGGCTATACTACTCCCTCCGTTCCAAATTATAAGTCGCTTTGGCTTTTTTGGTTCATCCATTTTGCTATGTATCTAGACATATATTATATCTAGATTAATAGCAAAATGGATATACCAAAAAAGTTATAGCGACTTATAATTTGGAACGGAGGGAGTACTAAACATCTGCTCCCTGGATCTAAATTTGAAACGGTTTGGTATGCTTCTAATTTATGAAATCTTGAAAACATAATGCATTGCTGCTTTGTCTACTGTGTAACAATGATGACAGGATTGTAACTGAATTTGAAGAGTATAAAAAATATGACAAGATTAAAAATAGATTTCGAATTAAAGCGAATGTTTCAGAGCAAGGTTACGTGTGTAACTATGTATTTGCTGTGACAATAAACTTTCACTAAATAATAACTGAAAATAGTGAAATGGCATGTTGAGTGAAAGCTTGCATGATCAGAAGTAAGTAGGATCTGCTGTTTCAGAGGCAGAGTTCAGAAAAGATTCAAGACGCTGCATAAAAATCTTACAACGTCAGTTCCAATGATGTAATCAAATGGAGGTTCAACGGCCTTGATATGTTCTTTGTTCCCCCAATCCAATTCTGCAACTGTAATTGAGCCGATGGAATCTGTTTTGTGTTTGCCAATTTATCTTTGTCAGAACTAAAGAACAATTTACTTAACATGATCCCTATGCATTTACAGGAACCAATATAATAATTAAGTCTTGATTATTTCAATCAAAAACTACAATACCACATGACTATATCCAAAACTACAGCTATGAGAAATACTCAAACTGATCTAGGAAGGGCACAGTACTCAGAGATGGTTCTCTTAACAAAACCTGAGTCGGAATTCGATTCAGAAATCCAAGATCTGTTTGCGTTCAACATTTCTCATGAGCAGTGGGAGCACCTCGACTTGGTCAGTTGTTGTAACATCACAACCTAACAACGCCATTCCTAAAGGAGAAGCAAACAATTTTAACAGAGAAAGCCAATAGGACTAGGATCCAGAAATGCACTGGATGGACAGTTGAATTGAGCTTACCAAACCCAGCTAGACCACAGCCAGCTCCTAATTCAATCACTCTCTTTCCTTTTAACTTGGATGGACAAAACCGACCTTTTCTGCTATTCTTTTCCTGTACAGATCAACCATAAAATACCAATCATGATGATGGTAATAAAAGTTAAGCTGGTATTTTCCTTAGAACCAAATCCTAGTACTAGCATATGCTCCAGCATATAAAGCTTCAAAGATGCCAACAGCCCAAAGTCTATGTACGGTGGATGTGCGCCTCTGACACAGTTTCAAAAAAAATGTTTTTGTTCACATGATTATATTTATTTATCCACATCAACTTGTGCAGGAAGGCCTAGAAATCAAAGAAATTACCAAGAACTTGACAAACACCATTGATGCATCCCAGACTGTGGTCCCAAGGTGCTTGGAGTTTGGATCCTGTCAGTCCAGAAGCAAAAGAAAATTCAGGTCACCCACCATTCAGTATCACCAGTTCACCACTACAGCTTGAGCAGAAGATGAAGTAGTTCCACCTACTAATGCAAAGCCTAATTCTTTTTCTTAAAAGAAAAACCTCTTTAAGAAGCGAGATTCATCTGGTGCTTCTCCCGTTCTCCTCACCTGTGAAATATGTAGCCGGTGGCCCATCACCTCCAGCGAAATAGCCGACGTGCTCGGCGAATTCAACCTGTAGTCAGCATGAACCGTACATGAAACTAAAGTAAAAAAAAATTGCAATCACTACCACCCTCACTCACGCCAGTTGCTAACAAGCAACATGATTCAATCACCAATTTACCATGTAATTTGCTCTTTGGGGCTTAAACTATCGCGAAGGAGGTGGAGAAGTGATGCTGCAGGAGGAAACGGCTTCAGCGCAATTACCTGTCGTGGTCCATGGCCTTCGGCAGCGAACTGACACACCGGAGCTCCGGCGGACGGCGGCGGCGGCGGTGAGGGTTCTGGGAGGAGAGCAACTACACACCGTGGTGTTGGTGTCGGGCCTGTCGGTCCCGGAGCCCATCGACTGCTCTACTTGATGGGCCGGGCCTCGTTGCATCTCCTCAAGCTTATGGGATACATACTCCTCATTTACGCCTTCGTCGCGCGTTCACGCCTCCACGGATTCAAACGCCCGAAAGCCACCGCGACCGCGAGGACTCCCCGTCGCCTGCCCATGCCCTTGCGCCGCCGTGCCGGCCGCGCCATCGCCGCCGCGCCAGGCGGCTTCCTCCACCTCTCCCTGCTCGCCTCCCTCCGCCGACGCCCCTCGCTCCAGGCGCACGCACAGCTCCTGCTCCTGGGCCTCCCGCTGCCCCCCGCCGCGGCCTCCCTCCTCCTCCGCCCGCACCTCCGCGCCGGCCACCCGCTCGCCTCGCTCCGCCTCTTCCTCCGCATGCTCCGCGACAACCAGCCCGCCGCGACCTGCGCCACCGCTTCCCAGGAGAAGGAGGGGGCCGTCCCCGACTCCCGCTCCCTCTCCGCGGCTCTCGCGGCCTGCTCCCGCCTCGAGTCCCCTTCCGCCGGCTTCTGCACCCACGCCTTCGTCCTCAAGTCGGGATTCGCCTCCGACGTCTTCGTCGCGAACTCGCTCCTCCATGTCTATGCCTCGTTCGGTCTCCACGCCCTCGCGTGCAAGCTGTTCGACGAAATGCCGGCGAGGGACACCGTGTCGTTCAACACGCTGATCGGTTCTTACGTGCAGTCGGGATGCGTTGAACGCGCGTTGGGGGTGTTCAGGAACATGGTGGAGGGAGGGTTCCGGCTGGACGAGTGGACGATCACGGCGTTGCTGGGCGCCTGTGCTGGGCTAGGTGATTTGATGGTGGCCAAAGCTGCGCATGGGTTTGGCAGCAGGGCATTGAGGCATACATTGTTCGACTCTGCAGAGGTGGTAATTGGGTTAGTGGACATGTATGTTAAGTGCGGCGCAGTGCAGCTCGCCAGGAAGGTGTTTAATTTGTCTGGGGAGAAGGCGAAGGACGCAAGGGTTTGGAGTGTGATGGTGTCAGGGTATGCAAGGGCTGGTGATATCAACATGGCTCGGAAGTTGTTTGATGAGTTGCCCAATAAGGATTTGGTTGCATGGACAGTTTTGATTGGTGGATATGTGCAGGCAGGTAGATACAAGGAGGCACTTCTGTTGTTTGAGGAGATGGAAGCGACAGGACTTGAGGCTGATGAGGTGATGGTCGTCACCGTGCTTTCAGCTTGTGTCCAGCATGGTGCTATTGGTCTAGCAAAGAGGCTCCATCGTCGTGTGAACCAGAATGGATTGGTTAGCCGAAATGCGAGAGTTGCCACCAGCTTCGTGCACATATATGCAAAGCATGGGTGCATACAGACAGCTGTGGATGTGTTTCGTGGAGTCGCTGATGAATTCAAGACTGTGGAGTTGTTTAATGCTATGATACATGGACTCGCTCACCATGGTCATGGTGAGAAAGCTATCTCACTTTTTGATGAAATGGAAACCCTGGGGCTCCAACCTGATGACATCACATTTGTGGGAGTCCCAAAGCATGCAGTCGCAGTAACTTGGTTGAACAAGGGTGTAAGATGTTCTCGTCAATGTCGGACAAGCACGGTGTCAAACCAAATGTCAAGCATCACACTTGCATGGCTGATCTCCTTGGAAGAGCTGGACGGATCGACGACGCTTACAGCTTTATCCAGAATATGCCTTTTCAAGCAAATCTTGTGGTATGGTCATCTCTTCTGACAGCATGCAAGATCCATGGAAATAACAAGATTAAGAATCTTGTAGAGAGGCAAATTCTCAGGTTAGATGCTACATACAAGCCTGAAAAGCTAACCTTATCTGGCTTATTTTCTGATAAGAAGAGGAAAGAGCTATCTGCGAGGGTGAGAAATGCTATAAGGCACAAATCTGAGCACAGGCGTACACAGTAGGAGTCACACCGAATGGTAATGTTTATCAGATTGCAATTACTGATGCTTCCCAGCTTCACCCTCAGGCAAAGGTGATTGATTGGATACCTGAAGATGCCCAAGGCATTTTTTTTTCAGGATGCTTTGGGAGAAGACTGCTTGGAATATCAAGAGACAGCTGCTCCAGCATTTCCCTTGATAAACCCAGTTCCTGAAACCCCAACAGCAGTCACGAACAATTGTATATGTGGTGGTTCCATTCATCAATCTGAGTATTTGCTGAGAATATGAAGTAGGGGTGTTAGTTCCAATGTTAGGATAAGTTTTGAAAGGAAACAAAGGATTGCCCTTGCAAAGAGCAGTGGTGATGCATTTTCAAATCTTGTGTGCAAGCTCTGGTAGTCAACTTCTGAAATGGTAGGTTAATCTCCTGGCGCAGCTGCTAACCTAGTTTTGTCTTCAATTCACTGCAAGGATTACAATTAATCAGTCGCTTGTGCCAACTGATCTTATGTTTGGGAATGTGATGGCAGAACAGAGAAAGACTGGTGAAAGAGCTATAAGCTCTGGGATGTGGAAGTTTTGAGATGCTCATTTAGAAGAACAGTATGAATCTATGCGGCAGATGTGGATGGAATGTTTGGGAATGAGATGGCAGATAGGGAAAGGCTGGTGAAAGAGCTATAAGCTCTGGGATGTGGAAGTTTTGAGATGCTCATTTAGAAGAACAGTAGATTAATCTATGCGGCAGATGTGGATGGAAATAGTTCAGCTACCTTCAACCATTAATTTTTCAGCTGAAGAGGACACTATGATTTCACAATTTACTTCTAATGGAATGTACTCGTCTCAATCTTTATATAGGAGTATTAACTTCAGGGGTATAATTCCAGTTTACAGGTCAGATTATGGTCCTCAAAATCCCCCCTAGAGTTCATTTTTTTCTTTAGTTTGCTTTCAAAATAAAGTTTTGACTAGAGATAATTTAGCTAAAAGAAGAAAGATAGATGATGTTTCTTGTCTCTTTTGTTCTGAGAGAAACCATCCATCACCTGTTTTTTCAGTGTATAGTAGCCCAACGGATCTGGCTTAGTGTTTTTTCAGGTCGTGGGTACTGTTTGTGGTTCTGATCATGTTCTGTTGGTAATTTATGGCTTAGTAAAATTGTAAAAATAAGTTGTTATAACAAATATGCTTATTTAGGCTGTCCTTTGGGGTATTTGGAAACTAATGAATCTATTATGCTTTCAGAATGTAGCTTCGAGGGATATGGCGATTTTGCTACAGAAGATAGCAGGGCTAGTGCAAAAAGAAAAAAAAATATGTTCAGTGGAGAGGAGACATCTGTTGGAACAAAAGGTGCTAGATTTGAGGCAGGTGGCCAGCATACCAGAAAGAATCAGCTGGTGAGCTGTGATGTGGGTTAGTTACTGGTTGCAGGGGGTGGTGACTCGATACTTGCTTGTGCCCCTCCTTTGGCTAGTTGTATGGGCTTAGAGGATCCGGTTGAGGTCTCTCCTCCTTGAGACGGTCAAGGTAACTAGCTGGAAAGAAAGGCTCCAAGCAGGTGGTTTGTCAGGTTCGGGTGGTTGTGTTCCGGTGTGGAGCATTGAGGTTACTGTTATTAGTTTCAGAGTCTGTAGTTAGTTGTTTTAGTTTTATTTTATTGCTTGGAATTGTACGGGACATTATCAATACCCCCTTGTGCTGTAAACCGTTTAAATTGCCTTCTTTTTGCCATTAAAATTGGAAGAGCAACGCCTTTTCAACGTTTTTCAGTTACTGTTTGAATATATCTGTTCCCATCTTGTTTTTCAGAGGAACGATCTGTTAAACAACAGAAATGTAATAGCAGAAACATGCTTATAAGTTGGTAATCACATTGGCAAACTCCAGCATTTTTTTATCGATTACATTTTAAAATATACATTTGAAACAAACCCATACATACGATCAAGGTAGCTACACAAATTCAAACCTAAATGAGTGCAACAGTTGTCATATTTCCTTGTTCTTATATGCCTACCTTTGGTTTTTTTTTTGGGGGGGGTACTTGCTGTCATCCTAAGTCAGATGAAGCATGCATGATTTGTGCTGAATTTTTCATTAGAAGCTTTCCAGTCACCTGTACAGGATGTCATGGGAGGTGGTGTGGTGGCCAACCACTGGAAAGCTAACCTTTTTGTTTATCGGTTCCTCCACCTTTTGCTCTCAGTATAAAAATATGGTGGCATCCTTCCTGGCTACTTGAATGAAGTACCAAGCTAGAGTTGAAAACCAACCTCAAAGGCAGGCAGGGCATAAGTGATCATGGCAAAGGTAGCTTCTCTTGGAGCATCTGAAAGCTCATCTCAATAATTTTAGTTCTTCATGTAGTATGTGGTGAACGGTTCTTAGAAGTACGACGAGTACTCTGTAGCAGGGACAATGCAAGGCTGGTGGTGGCTCAAAGACTTACGTTCTGAAGCTGGACATGCACTGCCAATGCAACGGCTGTGTGAAGAAGATCAAGGACGGGGTGAAGGAGATCAGCATTTCAGAAGGTATGTACGGTAGATTCTGTAGCATTTTTTTTGAAAGTAAATTCTGAAGCATCTTTTCGTCAAGCACAAGTTGTGCATTGCAATTGCATGTCTTGTGTACGTACGCCTGCTGCCTGCACCATTGAAAGTGAGTAGTACCTGAATGCTGCATTGCATGCCTTTGGAGAGAAGCTACAGGGGTGGAGCGAGCTGATGTTTCAGCAGAGACGGGAGAGGTGAAGGTGAGAGTGACGGGTGGAGTGGACATGGACCCAGAGAAGCTCTGCTGCCTGCTGCAAGAGGCAACGAAGAAGAAGTGTGTGAGGATAGTACTCGAAGAGAGCGTCCCATCGCCAGGATCAGGCCGCATTGCAAGGCCTGGGCAAACCAAGAACACCTCTGTGTCTGGTCAGGTACGCCTGCAACGAGCCAAGTTATTTACCATGTTCGCTTGATCGTTTCTATGGTTTATAAATCGGTTGATGTTGTTTTGTTGTGAGAGAAAAAACATTGTATCATGACTGATAAGCATGGCTGATACTAGTACTGCTGCTGGTCAGGCAACCATTTTGTCCTGAAACAGATCGTGCTGTGTTACTACTATTGGCACCGTTCCACGTTCCGGTACTATTTGTGCGCTTTTCTTTTCTTTTTCTTCTCCTTTTATTTGTAAGTATGTGTATATACTTAGGCCATGAAAGCTTTGGCATTATTGTTAAAGTTAAGGTACCGAATTGGTTAGATTAGATAAGCTGCCAACGAGACCCTCATTTGGTTTCTAACTTCAACTCCCTTGGGTGGTATCTTGTTTGTGATTGTAAGGGAATTATTAGTAGGCAGGCAGGTAGGCCACCTACTACAGTATCTATCTGCATACCCTGAACCTGAATATACTCCCTCCATCCCATGAAATAAGACTTATATTTGTAATAAGATTCAAATTTATCTAACCAATTAAGGAGGACATTCACATTCTATATAGTAATATGTATCAGTTTAATGCGCAATGTTTGACATTGTTCATCAATGCTTTTGAAGGGTATCAGGTCACTTTGCTTCATCACTAATGTCTCATAGAAATCCTATCATACATCTTTCTTTGTAAACAGATTGAGTATGTAATTTCGCAAACCGAATGAACGAACGTTACTTTCAGGTGCCGTCGGACTGGGTGGCTTCGGATTCTGCTGGGTGGTGGCGACACGACACGAGCACCTTCCCCGCAACCGCCCCGAGCGCCCCGCCCCTGCCGGTGCCGGAGGAGGAGGAGGAGGATGCATGGAGCGAGACGACGGTGCCTTCGGAACGGTGCCGGTACCGATGGGCGGCGCCTGGTAGCACGCTCGGCGTGTGGGCTGCGTCAGAGATCACAGGGACATTGGCCATGTACGAGCTGTGAAACCCACCCATGTTGTCAAACGAAGCGGATGCCCACGTGGATGCCGTTGATAGATGGCCTATGTAATTTGCTCTCCTGCTAGTACAATATGTATACACCAACTAATATAAAGCCTTTATCTCAAAATAATAATAATAGCAAGACTCAGTGTGTGAGCCTTTTCATTAGGCCATGTACAGCGCACAGATGTTTGAATAGGCGCTTAAAAAAAAGAAACTAATTTGTTTTTCACAAGCATCTTAACCTACAATGGAATAAGTCAACTTTCCATCCTAATCTAGCGCCCTGTTCACTTGGCTTATAAGCCGTACTTTTTCAGCCAACGAATAGTATTTTTCTCTTACAACAAATCAGCCAACAGTACTTTCAGCCATGGCTTATCAGCTAAGCGAACATGGCAGCAGACGCAAACTCAAGCGCCCTGCGAGCCTCCATCGTGGCACCAAAAAGCCAAAACCGTATGCAAGCACCAGTGCAAGCGCCCACGCTGTAGGGGCGTTATTGGCAACCCGGATGTCTGGAGCCGCCCAAAATATCGGATGCCTCCATCCGTCGCACGGAGGCCGCGCCATACGCGAAAAGAAGCCCGCATCGTCTATTTTTGCGTGTCCCACCGCGTGGACACCACGCTGCTATTTCGCCTGACCACCGCGCCCACACGCAGGAACTCACGTGGATCCCAGTCACCTGACCCCGCCTGTGGATGCTGCGCCGCGGATGCGTCTGCCGGCCTCAGGTGCCCGCACGGTGCCCCATGGTGGTGCCCCAGCAGCTGCAGTAGGCGGCTACGGTAGGTGGGTCCCATTGCAATATGTGCAACATCCAATTTACTTTTGTAACATCTAGATAAACACACTTGTAACATACGTCTGAAACACTTGTAAAAACACTAATTTTTTTTTGAAAACACGTGTGTAGCCATTGCGAACATATGCAAACATCCAGATGAAACACTTGCAACATACCTGAAACATTTGTATATATGTGCAACATCCAGATCTATTTTTTCAACATCCAAATGAAACACTTGCAACATACGTCTGAAACAGATGAAACATTTTGGAACATACACTTGAAACATACGTGTATAGGCATTGGAACATGTGCAACATCCCGATCCACTTCCACGACATCGATATAAAACATTTGCAACATATCTCTGAAACATCTGAAACACTTGAAACATACGCTTGCAACATGCGCTTTTAGCACAATGTTACCTTGCTGCTTGGACGAATTGAGCGAGGCTAGTCGTCTCGTAGAGCTCGATACCGGTGTGGAGATCGATGCCGGCGCGGAATGGGGGCGGGTGCAACGGGTAGGGCGGGTGCAGTGCCCGCAGCGAACGACCCCCACACTGGAGAAGGCCGCGGCGGGCGGGTGCGGTGCCCGCGGCGAGGCGCCCCTGCGCTAGAGAAAGGCTGCAGAGGAAGGGGATTAGGCGTCGCCGACGGGAGCGAGCATCATGGGCGGGGCGCTGCGTCGTGGGCGCAGACGGGAGCAAGCATCGCGGTTGGGGCGCGTGATGAGCAGGAGCGAGTGGCGTGGACCGGGAAGCGTTTGGATCCTAGGACTAAAAATCAGTCCTAGATTTTAGATGCCAAACAGGACGTCTTATAACATGGACTAATTATGAATGAATGAACTAATAAGACTAATTGGTAGCTAAAAATCTATAAGTATTGTATATCTAACCTATTATCACACAATGGAGTCCGGATATCGATCCAAACGCGTCTAGATTGGTTATGTTTTGCTTCTCCATCCGCGTGTAACTAACTAAACTAGTACTACTTGAGTGATATACTAGTGGTATTTGGTAACGTGAGAGGGCGGCTTAGGAGGTGTTTGGCACGGCTCCTCTTGAGGGGCTCCTCCACAGAAGCTAGAGCTGTTTTGGAGGATGTGACTCCTCCAAAATGGCTCTGACTCATCTTGTCGGCGTTTCAGAACCGGGGGTCCTTAACCGACTAGTGAATTTGTGCTGCGTGCTCCCAATTCTGGATGGTGATGCAAAGAGATACAAGGTTTATACTGGTTCGGGCAATGGATGCCCTACGTCGATCCCGAGAAGATGTTCTTGTATTCCTTGCACGGGGTGCTCGTAGTAAGGGGTTACAAAATTTGGGCGAGAGAGAGGGAGTTCGTCCCCGAGATCTCTGTGAGGGGAGGTGATATGAATTCTGAGAATGAGGCGTGTTGTTAGATGCAGTATTCGTGACTCTATCCGCCGCCCTCGAAGCGGTCCTGGCTGCCTCCTTTTATAGCCGCAGAGGAGAAACCAGGAGTACATAAGAGAGCTACACGTGGAGCAAGGACTATTCGATGGCGTATTTACTCTCGGAGCGACATGGCGTTGTCGTGGGAGTTCCGTAGATGTCTAATCGGTATGGTCTCCTTCGCAAGTAACATGTTGCACATTTGTTGACTTGGTGGATTCTGCGAGGCTCGCCGCCATCGTGGCCGGTCGTCGTGCGAGGCTGTCGTCGTAAGCCGGCTGTTGTCTGTGCCGAGGCTGCGCGTGCCGAGGGCACGAAGTGACCAGTGCTGGATGCGGGTCTCGGTGCCATCAGGCGAGAATAGTGCGAGACGGGCGCCTCTGAGGATCTGGTACCTGTATTGTCGAAGGGATGTTAAAAAAGGTGATCGACCGTTGTCCGTCGCGCTCTGTTGTAGCGCGCATCGCCGATCGTGGCTTACGTAAGCGGGAGTGCTGTGGCGCGTAATCGGATCGACTACCTGCCGGAGAGACCTTTGAGGCGGAGGCGACGAGGTTGCGGGGCGAGCCCGCCTCGGGCGGCGGAGCGTGGCCAATTCGTCAGGAGACCCCTACCGGGGGTCTCGGGGCGTGGACGGGCGAGGCGGAGTAAGATCGGTGAATCCGAGGCCTGCCGAGGGGGGCTCGGCGAGACAGAGCGGTCGGTCCGCTGATTTCGAGGCTACATGAACCCGTTCGACTCCCCACGTTATGGATGTCCTTGAGTGCAGGAGTTAGGCGGCCACGGTGGTCGGTAACCCCGCTCTGTCTGCCGTCCGCAGATGGCGGGGAGGTTGATGCGATGGCGTGTAGTCGGGTCACTTACCATACTATGCCGTTGTCGCGTCTGTTGGAGTGGTTGGGTGCTTGGATGCGACGTCGGTCGAGAGCAGTTTTGGTCGAAGAGGCGGTCACGGGCTGGTGCCGAAGTCGGCTCTCGCGTGAATCGGAGAATCGGCACTTCTTTCATTGGGTTTTCGACGGGGTCTCGGGCGAATCGGAGATTTCGGCCGAGACCTCGTTGTTTATTCCGTTGGTTCTTTTTTTAGGGTCTAAGTAGTTTTTCGATCTTTGCTTGTGGTACCCCATTTTACGGTACCAAGCAGTAGCCCCGAGCCTCGGGCGGGGTGTGGGATACTCTCCCCGAGGTTTTTTTTTCGAGACTTTTGTTTCTCGGTGGCTCTTGTCGGGTTTGTTTTATACTCACGATTACGGTGGGTGCGGCAGGCCTTCCACGGGGTGTTCCCCTGAGGCCCTAGAGGAGTGAGTTTACTCCTTTAGGGCTTTTTTTCTTTGTTGAGTAAGGCGCTCTATCGCATTTGCTAGACCCATGAGAGCGAGCTCAGGTCACTTGTTTTCGTTTGGGGTGCAGGAGGAGCCCCCGAGCCTGCCGAGCCCTCGCGTGCGATCCTAGGTCGCTAGGTCTCGGCAAGGTTTGCAGGAAGAGCCCCTGAGTCTCCGTACGTAGCGAGAGGGCGATCAGGAGTTCCTCTGGCTTTTTGTATGACCCTCGCGCATCCTTTTCGTTCGGAAGGAGGGGTTGTTTGCCGAGCCCTTCGTGTGCGAGCCTAGGCAGCTGGGTCTCGGCAAGGTTGCAGGAAGAGCCCCCGAGCCTCCGCATGTAGCGAGAGGGCGATCAGGAGTTCCCCTAGCTTTTTGTACGACCCTCGCGTATCCTTTTCGTTCGGAAGGAGGGATTGTTTGCCGAGCCCTTCGTGTGTGAGCCTAGGCCGCTGGGTCTCGGCAAGGTTGCAGGAAGAGCCCCCGAGCCTTCGCACGTAGCGAGAGGACGATCAGGAGTTCCCTGGCTTTTTGTACGACCCTCGTGCTTCCTTTTCGCTTTCGGAAGGAGGGTGGAACATGCCGAGGCTACCTCGGTGGTGGCGAGCGGTGACATTTCGGTGAGCTTTTATCGAGGTAAGTCCGAGTGGAGGCCCGTGCCCCATTCGATAGAGGGGTCGGCTAGTGGTCCGAGAGACGCGCCCAAAAAAGTACAGAAGGCTTCCCTAAGCGGGTGCTGTGGGCGTTCGATTGGCCCTAGGGGCTCGATGCCTCCCTCACGGTGGGATCCCTTTAGAGAACTCCTGCTGGTCTCGGACACGACTTAGGGCATCCCAAGCAATCGCTTGCCTGGGCCTCGGCCATGTACGGGCTCACCCATAGTTGTCCCTGACTCTGTTGTCCTGGGGCGGCTATCGAGGCCCTGGATGGCCCAGCCTTCGTACCCCTGGACCATAATGGGCTTGGTGCCCTTTTTCGTCACGTTTTTCTGACCCTCGGGGTGTGAGAGGTTGCAGGAAGAGCCCCCGAGCCTCTGCACATAGCGAGAGGGCGATCAGGAGTTCCCCTAGCTTTTTATACGACCCTCGCGCATCCTTTTCGCTCGGAAGGAGGGGTTGTTTGCCGAGCCCTTCGCGTGCGAGCCTAGGTCGCTGGGTCTTGGCAAGGTTGCAGGAAGAGCCCCCGAGCCTCCGCACGTAGCGAGAGGGTGATCAGGAGTTCCCCTGGCTTTTTGTATGACCCTCGCGCATCCTTTTCTCTTGGAAGGAGGGGTTGTTTGCCGAGCCCTTCGCGTGCAAGCCTAGGTCGCTGGGTCTCGGCAAGGTTGCAGGAAGAGCCCCCGAGCCTCCGTGTGGAGCGAGAGGGCGATCAGGAGTTCCCCTGGCTTTTTGTGCGACCCTCGCGCATCCTTTTCGCTCAGAAGGAGGGGTTGTTTGCCGAGCCCTTCGCGTGCGAGCTTAGG